ATAGAATTTTTAATATTCAATTAGTACCAAATATAAGTAAATGTGTTAATTGATATATTGAAAGAAAAATAAAATTTTATAAGTTCCCGTCTGCTTTTTTTTAAAGAAAAACAAAATTTTATTTTAATTTTGATTTCAAAATTAGTTTTATAAGAAAATTCTTTATTTTTCCTTTTTTTGAATTTTAAAGATTTTTTTTATATTTAATCGGTACCAAATCAAACTAAATATGTTAGTAAACACATTGAATAAGCTACTAGTCCAGTGGTAAACTGCCTTGCCATTTTATCCAATCAACCCAGGTTCGAGTCTAGGAGTCTACGACTTTTTATTTTTAAATCGCTTAAAACGACGTCGTTTCATCTCAATTGAAAACGTCGTCGTTTCATCTTAACGTCAACAATTAACGACGTTAATTTTTTCTGTTAAATTTGCTGACGGCGTGCCAAATTGGCAAGTCAACGAAAACATCTATTATATTAAAATAGAAGTCACAACCTCATTTCATGTGTGATTTTTAAGTTGGACCAATCTTATTTTTTTATATTAAATGTATTTTAAGAAGACTTATAATATATAGAACCTTTGAAATACTTTAATCACAATATCTTTTGATATCTTTTCATTTAAAATATAATTATATATATATTAAAATTTTTGAAAAAGCTGTTTAAGAAGATTTCAACAAGATCTTAATTTTCAAAATTATATATAAATATTTGCAATACTTTCGTGATTAGTTTTGAAATATTATTATATATTAATATATTTAGTTATCATTATTATAATGCAAATAAATATTCCAAATTTAACATATATTAAACACAAAATACTTTTCAAATATGTTTTTTCATGCACATATTATTTTTTTTGATAACCAAATGCAAATACAATAAGATAAATATATAATAAGAAGTAGCAAATACATGTAATTATTTTAAACAATTAATTATTTACAACATGTAAACTATATATTATTTTATTTGAAATAGTTATATAAATATTTAAATCTATAATTAAAATTAAAAATGATCTAAAATAAATATATATGCAGATAAAATTGAAAATAAAACCTGCACGGTTGTGCGGGTCAAGATCTAGTTGTTAATTAATTCTAAAGTCAATGAAAAGTTTGTGTTTTTTTCTACCAGCCCAATAGTTCATGTCTTTATTGGCAATTCGTGCAAAGTTCGTGCTTTTTTTTGCTGAATTCCCATTTATAATATGTAGGGACGATATAAATTTAAGTTACGTAAATGTAGGGAAGAATATTTAGACGAATTAAAAAAATATCTCTTTCGAGGAACAAGGAATACTTTTTGAAGATAATTTGAATTAGTTAAGAAGTTTAAAGTTTAACAGTTAATGGTAATACCACTACGATAAGTTTCTGAAATTTATGGAATCCAAAATTGGATGGGTCCATGGCCTATAGTAAATTTGAAAAATCAATACTATTGAAAATGTCCAAAATTGTATTACAAATTTGTAGTTAAATCCAATAAATATGTTAATCGAATTATATAGTTTATTTATATTAGTTTAAATAATTACATTTATGATTTTTGAACAATAAAAATAATATTCAATTTTGACCCGCGCTTTTTATATAGTTTATTTTTTATATAGTTTATTTATGTTAGTTAAAATAATTACATCTAGGATTTTTGAACAATTAAAATAATATTCAATTTTGACCCGTGCTTCTTATATAGTTTATTTATGTTAGTTAAAATAATTACATCTAGGATTTTTGAACAATAAAAATAATATTTAATTTTGGCCCACGCTTAAGAAGGGCGGGTATTTTTTTGTTGACCATAAAATAAAATATTAAATAAATTTATGAGAGTCAAAGGTAACTCAAAAATATTTTTTATGAGAGTCAAAAATAACTCCAAGTATATAAGGAAGAATTTAAATATTGCAAGATTCTGGAGTAACAAATGAGATTTGTTACTCCAAGTATCTCATTTTTTGTTTCAATATGCAGCAAATATAGTATAAATCGATTTTCGTTTATTATATCATAGTATATTGATCTATTTTTATACAACACTATGAATTTTTCGTATAAATAAATCAGTCAATAAATCATCAAGAAAAGCAAATATTATTTAAAATGATATTTATTGGGTGAAAACAAAACGCGATTTTGATTCAGCCAGAATTAATGCTCGAGAATCATCATTATGCGATTGTCAAAACATAACTAAAAATATTATTTCTAAGCAAACATAATCCTAAAACGGATCGATGGAGAATCATCATTACCTCTGCGATTTTGATTTAGCCAGGGTTAACGCTCGAGAATCATCATTACCTCTGCGTTTATAAATAAGTTTTATAATTTAGTGTATACTATTATAAAGTGAAATCATTTTTGTTGAAGAAGATAAATACCGTTGTTTAAATTCATCTGTCTCTGGTATTTCAGGATTAACAAACATCTGACTTACGTCATAAGCATTTGAGATTTGGACCTCAATTATAACCAAAAATAAATCATAAGCATTCGAGTAATTTCTTTTGCCAATCAAGAAATGTATGTCTTGTTACACGAGACATGGATCTTACTTCTCTATATAAACATAAAACAATATCATTTAGGTTAAACTTAACGAAATGAAGATATCTAAATCAAAAATCTATACAAAACGATAAATTTACATTTGCATCACAAAAGCTTAGTTCCATGGACTCCCTTAGTCTTTCATGAAATGTCTCCACGTATGAAGGATTTTGACTTGAATGTGACAGCAGTTTTCCTCGGTTGTATATCGCTCAAGAAAGACAACTGCAAATTATTCGCCATTTTTTTTTTAGGTTTTTGAAGAGATGATAAATATAATTGTTAAGAGAGGCTATATTTATAATAGGTAGGGACAATATACAATTAGGTTACGCGAATGTAGGGGAGAATATTTCATACGATTTTTAAAAATATCTCTTTTGAGGAATAAGGAATATTTCTTTAAGATTCTGAATTAGTTAGGAAGTTTAAAGTTTAACAGTTAATGGTAATCCAACTATTGTAAGTTACCAAAAATTTTGGAATCTACGATATTGATTGTGGTTAATCTATAACTTGTAGGTAAAGAAATTTTTTTATTTTAGTAGGAAGATAATTATAGAAAACCGTATTTGCAATATTTTCTTAACAAAACGTATCTCGTCCATTAAATGTCAACATGAGAGTGATGATATATCTTTTTGGTTGATATCACTATATGTCGTCTAACTATGGTATATAAATACAGGTAAATTTAGTGAGACATGAAAACATATTTCATATATGAAGAAAAACATGAAATGAAGGTTTATAACACAAAATAAATTAAATGAAAATTTATAAAGTCCATGTATGATGCATATACCAAAAAATGTCAACCAAAAAAGTATAATGTTGAAAATCTATAGATTGAAATCGTGTAATATAAGGTCTATAACACAATATAAATGAAATAAAGGTATATGTAGGTCATGTATGATGCATATACCAAAAAATGTCAACAAAAAAAGTATAGTATTGTAAATATATAGATTGAAATCATGTAATATAAGGTCTATAACACAATATAATTGTATGAAATATAGTATGGTATATAAATACGGGTAAATTTAGTGGGATATGAAAACATATTTCATATATGAAGATAAATCATGAAATGAAGATTTATAACACAATATAAATGAAATGAAGGTTTATAAAGTCCATGTATGATGCATATACCAAAAAATGTCAACCATAAAAAGTATAATGTTGGAAATATATAGATTGAAATCGTGTAATATAAGGTGTATAACACAATATAAATATATGAAATATAGTTTGTAATATGGTTATAAAGTCTATATATGATTTATATACCAAAAAAGGTCAACCATAAAAGTCTAGTGCCGAAAATCTATAGATTGAAATCATGTAATATAAGGTGTATAATATAATATAAAATGTATGAAATATAGTATGGAATGTGGTTATAAAGTCCATATATGATGCATATACCAAATCGTGTAATATAATGTTGGAAATCAATAAATTTATGAAATATAGTATGAAATATGGGGTCCGATTGGTAATGGCTGTAGCTTTAAAGTTTTTGCTATAGAAAAAAATCTATAGATTTTTTGCTATGGCTTTAGATTTTATTGTTGTAGATTTTTTGGAAAGCACTAAAAAATTGCTTTGGATATTTGGCTCTGCAGAGCACTTGTATAGCTGTAGATCATTTTTAAAAAAAAATTAAAGTTTGATTGCTCTAAATTTAGTGTTGTAGAAATAAATAGGGCTGTGGACAGCACCTACAGCAACTACCAATCACCCCCATGGTTAGAGTAATTAATGGGAAGAGAGAGAATAATTTGGGTATATACAATATGTGATATGATTTGTAACAAATTGATATATATATATATATATATATATATATATATATATATATATATATATATATATATATATGTATGACCGATATTAAATTACCAAAATGTCATTAATGAGGATGTAGACAACTTGTATTAGTCGATTTTTCAAGGATGCCTTCACTTTTAATAGTATAGATATTGTAGGTTTTTAGAGCTTTGACCACACAGTTTGAGAATCATTAAGTCGAGTATAACCCCTGAGAAGGCCCTTCATCTTAGTTCTGATTTTGAAATATATAGCGATGGGATTGATATTGAAATTATAAAAAAAACGAGTCTGATTGATAATAGCTGTAATTGTAAAAAATTTGCTGTAGAAAAAAAATATATATAATTTTTTTGCTGTGATTTTAGATTTTATTGCTAAAAAATTTATAGAAAATCCAAAATAATTATTGTGGATATTTGTTATACAAAACAATTGTAGAACTATAGATTATTTTAAGAGCTGAGATTTAAAAATAAATATTAAAATTTGATTACTATAAATTTATTGCTTTAGAAATAAATGCACTTACAGTAACTATCAATCACACATGGGATTAAACAGTGAGAAAACGATTATGATCTAAATGAAAGAAATTATGGTGAAATCTGCAAAACAACTAACTAATCTCTTCCGATAGTAATATGGGCCGCTAAACACAATAGCTATATATTACTTGGCCCAAGGGTATATTTCGAAATAAGAGTAAACTACGAAGAAGTACCATCTTAGGGTTTTGCTTCTTAAAGAGAGTATTTAGCTTCTTCTCCGACGGTTAGTCGGAAGGAGGTTGCAGCTGGCCAAAACAGTACCGAGAATTGTACTTCTTCGTAGTCTCTCAACTCTTGTTGTTCTTTCAAAACCGAGAAGCTGTTTTAGATCATCACTGTCTTGATAGTTCTGGGGAATTTGATTGTTTGTCTCACACGACTAGGTTTTGTTATGAAATGTAATCTCTCTTATTGTGGTGGTTACCTGCTTGATTTTCTAATAATGTTGTTGATTGATAGCCATCCTCTTCTTTAGTCTTAGTTTGAATAAGTGTCTTTGAATTAAAATGATATGTATTTTGATTTTGATAAATGTGTAGCCTAAGCAAATACACGAGATCAAGGACTTCCTTCTGACAGCGAGAAGGAAGGATGCAAGGTCTGTGAAGATCAATTAGAAAAGCAAGGACAACGTCAAGTTCAAGGTCAGGTGCTCGAGGTATCTCTACACACTTTGCGTCTTCGACCAAGAGAAGGCTGATAAGCTTAAGCAGTCACTTCCTCCAGGTTCATATTCTCCTCTCTTAGATTAATTGGAACCTCTTAGATTATTTTAGATTTTGCCAAATAAGTATGAGAGTTTGTATATGCACTTGTGAATGTCAAGAGTCTTAGTAAGCATGTGAGTGATATATGTTTTGTAAAATTTAAAATGTGGGAGTTTATTTATTGTAACTTCTGCTTTATTTCAGGTTTGAGTGTTCAAGACATTTAAGTTGTAGATGCCTTTCGCTTGGGATACTTTGTGTTTGTTTACCTTTTAAATTACTTATGATGTCTTTCAATTTCAAGACTTGGGTTTTGTATTTTTGCCATTTGCCATATACATACGCATGTGCAGTCAATGACTTGAACAAAAGAAAAATTTATATTGCAATCTTAAGCCTTGGTTCGCAAAACATCAACAAATATACAAAAATTATTCCAATGGACTCTAATCGTGTAGTTAATCAAAGAGCATCTACACAGCAAGATTGTTCACCCCAATTGATTAGTAAAGTTGCAAATATGGTTACGAAGCACTGTTCCATTCCAAAGCTTCCCTTGAACCTACCTCACTTCACTCCCAGGTTTGATTACGTTCCTCACCTGTTTATATATCCTCCAAGACCATACCGTCCTCGCTAAATCTCCATATCACACTGTACACTCTCATCCCCATCCAACAGCTTCGTTGGATTCTCATGAACACACAGCATTAGCAAGAGCATCTGAAACAATCATAAAAGTGATGAATATGTAATAACAGTTTTACCATTTTGATGTTACAACGGAAAATGTGCTTCACCCATCCATCCACCCATCTAACCACCCTTCCATCAGCCTACTATGGACCAAAGACTTGGTCCACAAACTTCAAATCTCCCATGACGACCTAGTCTACTAAGGTTGTCTCTTGGCCAGCTTTCCTCGACTTGCTTCTATGGAGCAACCTCATGCTTCATGGGTTTGAACTCACGACCCCCTATTGGACTTATGTGAAAGGGGTCGATTGCTATGAAAATTACATACAAAGCAATGATACAGAGAACTGGGTGATGTGTCAGGAAGGAGTCATATGTACCATGCCGGCCTTTCTTCTCCATTTGAAATGCTCAGAGATGGATCAGAAAGCAAAGATCAGATAACTTTACATCTTATATAAAATATGTAGAGAATTGTGGTTTTGGAGTAGCTAAGCGTAACAATGCAATATCACGTGGGTGAGAATTGGGTTGAAAGTGGATTCGATGGAAATGAACATGTCAAAAGTGGATCCAAGTTAGATTAACCAAACAGCTAATACAATTGCCATGACTTTTTTTTGACCTGTAAATCATTCAACCTTCTCATCATATATACAACTTGAACTGTGAATCTGAAATTGTTCTTCTACCCTTTTTTTTGTTTTTAAAATACGTTACAAGGGGTTTGACACTAATCTAATACAACAGATTCATTTAGTTACCTTGCGAAAATTGCAAGAATGCAAATGATAAACAATATACAATATATATCAAAGAAAACAAGAATATGTGATAGCATATGCTTTCATAATTAAATAAATGTGAAAGGTCACAAATCAAGAAGCATGTCTAGTAATACAGAGGACCCTTTTCGCAACTATACATCAAACGTATGGCTGTACTATTCACAATGACATCGTTTTAGCTTATAACGCCATGTCAGACGTCTAGCCAGCTCAATTAACGATTGACTAACTTTCATTGCGAATAATATAAATTTAGTCACATTTTAAAAAGTTCAGCTAATTTTAATTAACACGGATGATTTGTTCGGATCATATAAGACATGGAGAACTTGTTCGAATCACTTGATACACAATAGAAATTGTTAGTCATAATATAACATTTACCGTAACTTTCAGCATTCTACCTAGCGTTGATGTTACCCATCACTGAAGTTACAACGAGGAACCACAATTGCATAACTAATTCCCCCATGATGACACAAATTTAGTGATAATAATAATAAAAGGATATTTGTATCCTCTTTACTACACTAAAGAATAAAAAATGAACATTTTTTATTTTTGTTGTCAATTTTATAGAGAGATCATAAAACAAATCTCAGTCTTTGAAACATGAAACTAGTATACATTTCATTCACATATATATATTCTTTTGCAAAACATAATTTATAAGTAATAATCCATCCATAGCTAAACAAATAGGAGGATGAAAAATGATATCATATTAATTAATTTAGAAATGCTTGAAGCTTCTCGTTGTAATAAGAACCATTTACTTTCTCATAAACTTAATGAGCCATCGATTTAGAAAAAGATAAACCTCTTCTTTGCAACCGGCTTGACTGAAACATGGTTCCTGGCCTCGACTTCGGTCATGATCATCATAACCATCATCATAACGACGATGAAGGATGCAATCATGGTTTTCTTTTCGATAGCCATTGTTTAATAAGATCTTAAATGGTTCTTGTTTTATTTGCTTCTTCTTAGCAATTTGGATTAATTGACGTATTTATATGCGAAATCAGACTTCTATAAATAGTGATTCCTAGTTTTATTTTATTTTTGGAATGTTTCAGTTCTTTTCTTAGGTATTGGTTAAATGGTTACTAACTTTTTTTTAAATCAAGATCTAAAATAGTGTTGGACAATGCCTTCCTAATTTGTGATGTAAGTTTTACAATGACAAACTGGTTTCTATCAATAGGAAAAAAAACAATAATGAATTGGTCAACTAATAAAATACTACAGTATATGATTCACGTTAGGAGATGACTACTCTTCAAATGAAAGTTAAATTACATAATATGTATTTATTTATTTTTTGCCAACAATAACTATAATTAATTCAAATTAGACACCGATTCCAAAAGTCAAATTGGTAGAATATAATTAACAGAAACCATAGTAGAAAGAAATTTTCAAGCACTTCTTTTAAATTTATTTGCCATTCTGTTATTTGCTCTTGCACTAGAAGATTATATGTTTACAAATTGAAAACATTCTAATCGCTAAAACACCACTTTGCCATTTTCATTAAAAAGTTTTAAACATCTCACACAAATTAAGAAACTTTGGAATAATACAAATAAATTCTGTTGAATATGCATTATTTATATATAATGGCTTAAATTTCTAGATAGCTTTTATAATAATCTCAAAGTAATTTTTGAGGTCCATATATGGTTTGGTGTAAATTATTAACAGCACTAAAAAGATGTGAATCTCACCAACAACGTACCCAAAAAACCTTTGAAGCATGTTAGGTTCCACTTAGGTTCAACACGACGACCTTCTTCTTACAAGAATACTCCCTTAAAAAGAACATGTTCCGTATCTTTCATTCATGTTAAAGAACAACCATAACAATGGCTTCATCTTCCTCACTACTCATGTCCTTGTTCTTACTACTTGTCATCCCTTCATCAGTTCTCTCAGCCACTCTTAGATCTGATATTCAAGCTCTAGAGTCTATCATACGCAGCATTGATCCAAGTTCCATCTCACCATCCTCTTACCTCAGCACATGGGACTTCTCTGAGGACCCTTGTGAAGGCTCAGGGACGTTCTTGGGAGTTATGTGTTCTTTCACTCTTGAGAACACGACCAGTAGAGTCACAGAGATCGACCTAGACGATGATGGTTATGATGGTTTCCTCTCTGAAGCAATAGGGAACCTCACCGAGCTCACTGTACTTAGCCTCAACAACAACAGGTTCCGTGGTCCAATACCAGAAACTGTCTTCCAGCTCAGGAAACTCACCAAGCTCTCTCTCTCCGGAAACTTCTTCACCGGAGATATAACCCCAGGAATCACCAAGCTCAAGGAGCTCAAAACCATAGACCTCTCCAAGAACAGTATCGCCGGTGAGATACCTCCAAGGATCTCAGGCTTGAGAAGTTTGACTCACCTGATCCTATCAAACAACCATATAGACGGAAGAATACCTTCGCTCAACGGCTTGTGGAAGCTACAAGTGTTGGAACTCGGTAACAATCATCTTTTCGGAATGCTTCCTAAGCTTCCCACAAGCCTAAGAACTCTGTCCCTATGTTACAATAGCCTTGCAGGACGTATATCTCCTTTGCATAGGCTGAAACATCTTGTGTCATTAGATGTGAGCCAGAACAGATTCTCAGGCACCATTGGCCATGAAATCTTAACGTTTCCAGAGATTTCACGCATCAATGTGTCTTTTAACCAGTTCATATCCATAGAGGTTATTCAGGTTATAGGCATGGAAACGCACCTGCGCATCCTTGACGCTGAAGGAAACCATTTACAGGGACCCCTTCCACTGAACCTAGCAACTTATGGAAACTTGAAGGACATCAATCTAAGAAGCAACATGTTCTCAGGAGATATTCCAAGGATTTATGGGAAAAGACTTGAGAATTCATGGAGGAGCTTGTACTTGGAGAACAACTACCTGACAGGTACACTTCCTGAGGAGTTTCAGAGAGTCTCCAAGCAGATCAAAGGAAGCCTTTCTAATAACTGTCTACAGTGTCCAAAGAATGTTACAATCTGCCAAGGAGTACAAAAGCCGAAATCACAATGCACCAATGCAATGCAGAAAGAGGGCTTGGAGTAGAGAGATCATGCGCATGAGAAGCGGTTTCTATAAGAAAGCATAATCAGCAGAGTAAAGTTCATGATGTCCTTGTATGCTTTTAAATAATGATAGTATAAATGTAGTCTATAAAATGACATTCAAAACAAAAGATAAAAAAGAGAGATGTGTATTTGAGATAACAACATACTTCTTTCACAATATTTATGTTTAACAGACCTCTAAACCCAAAACAAAACTCAACTACCATAGCTCCATCAGGAGTACATTCCAAGTTCTGATACATAACATCAGAGGTGTTTTTTCCACAACATCTTAAACGTAATGCATTTCAAAAGAGCCAGTTCACACTAATGTTACCAAGCCAGATCAAAAGAGGAAACTGAGCTAAAGCTACAAAGATCAAGAGGTAGTGATGCCTGCTTGAGTCATAACTCCTAGCTTCCGCAAAGAGAACTCGCTTCATTGTCTTCACTAGGAAAACCCCGCTGCATAAGCAGGTCCACGGAAGCAGAGCATAGTAAGAGTATCCCCAAATGATCTTGCCAAAAACAGCTAAGCAGAGACCAGTAAAAGTATAGCCAGCATATGCCACAATATCCAAGAGGGGTGCTTCACCACTACCCAATGAAAGCAATGTTATCTTCAGCAGCATGACTTGCAAAAACCAGCCAACCATTCCTTTCACAAAAAGCCAGTTCAACGCTTCCGGAGAAAACCTAGAGAAATATGGAAGCACCACAAAGATCAAAATATTGACAAAAAAATCAGTCTAAATGACATATAAGAGAAGAGATAAAGAACTTACTTCCCATAGAGTCCTAGTGACAAACCAGCAAGAACAACGTATGTTCCAAAAGCCATAAGCGGGATGTATAAGTCTGGTGCATTGATATCATATATCGGAGGCTTGTAAGAAAGCCTACCCCCAACTGGCTCTGAGATTCTAGTCCAGTGTCCCTGATGTAGCAGCAAAACTGATATGAGACAGACCCAAAATACAAAAAATAATTTAAAAAGAAGGTGAGCCTTACCCTGTGAAGAAAGGGAAGTAGTACAATCTTCAACTTGTTCCTCACATACTGGTCATTCACTTGAAAATAGTATTGAGGATCGGAGAAGTAACGAGTTATCTGTATATATCACACTCCAGTTAAAAAAAACAAATGAAACGTCAACACATGGGGAAGAAGCTAGAGACTTACGTTGCTCTGCACATACTCAGAGCTGGATCCGAAAATCTTCTCCCCATAAGCTCCCAAACCGCTTCTGATAAGTCCAGAGCCAGGACCAGAGAAGGCATTGCCAAAAGGGTTAGGCTGAGGAACTGCCTGAGGCATAGGCATCCCAGGCTGAGGTCCCATGTTATTATTATACATCTCTGTCATTCAACACAACAAAACCACCACAAAAAAAAGCTTTACTTTAACCAAATTGCAAAGCTCATATGCACAAAAGAACAAAACTTTCTTTGTATATGATTCTTGTTTTAGGAGCTTTCATACTTTTTAGCAATCCAATCAACAAATCACCTTTCTCTCTATCTATTGCTCAATCAAAACAAACATCGATAAAGTCTGAGACTTTGAAGCAGAAATCACTAAGAAACTAAATATGGAAGAGACCGAGATCTCGGCCATGGACAAAGATTTTAACCTAACAAGAGATCGCTAGAAGGCGAACAAGGAAGAGTCAATCAGCAATTGATAAGAGAGACTATGAAAGCAGACCTGGAAGAATCTGTGAAGGGGGGTGGACAGATCTAGAGATTGCTTTCTCGGTTGATTTGATTAGCGCGACGGCGAAGCTCTACGGTGGTGAAGAATATTCAATAGATCGAAGGTGTGGAGAGGAGAGAGTCGAAAATAACGGAAGCGATGTCTCGTGTGAAAAGGCTCTGGTTCGCACGTGTGAGCCAGCATAGGTTGCTTTATTCTTTCATCACCGAACCAATATATGCTTGACACGTATATAAGAAAATTGGGTTTTATATGTATATACTCGAAAGTGCAGGGTTATTTATGCGAAACCTCGAAAAGACTAGGGGGTTGTATTGTAATGTTTCCTAATAAAAGATGGTTATTTAACTCTAGACTCTAGTATGATCTCAGTTTTGAGTTTTACCATATGCTTTTTTATAACACTGGTAGCTCGGATAGTACAACATAGGAAAGAACCAGTACAGATTTCTCTGTTTTGAGTTTTACCATATGCTTAAAACGGATTTCGTGGACCTGATGTGTTGGCACGATGCACCGGGAATGTGACCAGTTGTGATGATTGACTATATACGGGTTGAAAGATGTCTGAGCTACAAGATCGCTTGCTTTCTCATCTTGAGCTTATCCAAGAGGTTAGGCTCTAGCTAGCTATCTCTTCTTCATGCACATTAGGTTCGAATCAGAATCAGAAGCTATTATCTTCGACATTTCCTTTATATGGTAGCAGCAGTGATACCTCTTGATGATGCCAACTCTTACATGTCTTCTTTATTCATTGATCTTACTTGTTTACTAGACAAACAAGTTTACAGCACCAACATTAAACAAGTGTAATTTTCAAATCTGACCATTCATTCATCCACCATATCATGTTATCTTGGTTTATAAAGCCGTGAAGTTTGGTTCTCAATCCCTATTGTATGTTTATATGCAACTCTAGCTTTCTCAACATTGCTGTGATGTCTCCAAGGAACGGGGTACCACAGAGAAAGACTCTGATAGACTTCTATCATTTGAGACACTGACGTGGCAAGATGAGTTTCTGACGTGGCTGAGACAAAGAGGTAGCAAAGCTTCTGATTATACCAGAGGGTATAAGAAGAGATAGAGTACGAAGAAAGACTTCATGCTTTGATGTGTATGAAGATTGATGCCATGAGTCATCTTGACCTGATCGCCATGAGATCGGTGACGAAGGTGAAGCTCGCCATGAGAGCCTAGCCGGAGTCAACTCAAAGCTATATTCGTTTATCATCTTGTAATCTCTGTTCTAGCTTGTAATATTGTTTGGAGTGATCAATAAGAAGAGTTATAGAGTTTCAGATATCAAGACTCTATCAGACTCTCACTTACAAGAGTTAACAAAAAGAACTTCAAAACACAAGATGGTGACTTTGATGACTAAACAAAACAGTGAATCAGTGCCCTGTGGTCAGATGAGTATGGGAGGTAGCATGGAAGTGTGGGCTGAAACATGCAAGCATATATAGATATCATTAGACTTGCAAGTTTCTAAATGTTATCCTCAGGGCTCAACCAATTGTTCTTTAGGCTTTCATTACTTCAAACCTTTTTTTTTATTCATTGAAGTTACCCAAAATACAAAATCGATACCAGAATCAAACACTTCTCTGAACACCAAACCAAAGCCCCAAAAAAGAAGTAAAACGTGAACTTCTAAGAATCCAGACTAAATCAGTTTCCATTGAGGAGAGTCTGGACGTCAGAGACTGTAGGAAGAGCTGGAATTGCTCCTTTCTTCGTAGTTGTAATGGCTCCACATGCATTCGCAAACCTAAGCACTTCTCTAAGCCGAGCTTCATCCTGTAGTTAAGAGACAGAATAAACACTGTCACTAATCAACACAAAGATTCAGAAATCACACAGATTAGTCTAAGAAATGTTACCTCGAGAACAGAGCGGTCATCAACAATGTTGCAAAGCAAGGCACCAACAAATGAATCACCTGCACCAGTAGTATCCACTGTGTTCACATGGAAAGGATCAACAGATCCATGGAAGCTCTGTAATCACAAGAAGATAACATTAGTTACACCATTAGTACAATCACACACACAAGAAATGAAACTCTTCAATAAAAAAAACATGTACCTTGGTGTAATATTTACAACCCTTTTCACCCAAAGTGACCAAGAGAAGCTTCAAGTTATCATGCCACAGAGACAAAGCAGTCTCATCATCAACATCATCAGATCCAGTCAAGAACATAAGCTCTTCATCACTGACTTTGATCACTTCAGCTTTGTCCCAAATGCTAAGAATCTGCTTCTTAGCCTCCTCCTTCGAAGGCCACAAAGGCAGCCTCAAATTCGGATCATAGGAAAGCAACGCACCAGCTTCTTTAGCCACCTCCATAGCCTTCAAATGTGCAGATCTACATGGCTCCACGATGAGGCTTATTGATCCATAGTGAAATACCTTAGCCTGTAATTAAAAAAAAAAGAGCAAAAACAAAACAGAGCACTTCATTAACCTGACTTGACATCCACGTTTATCAACAACCGTTACATACACACAATGTAACGTTATGTAAAACACTTTAGTCTGTCAAATATACGAAAACAAAACAGAGCACCTATTTTACCTAACGTGACCGCCACGTCAGTAATAATATCAACAACCGTTACATGCAATAGTTATTAAAAGTTAAGGCCACGTTATGCTCTAACTTAACCTCCACGTTAGGGCTATCAACAACCGTTACAAACAATATAGCTACTTAAGAGTCAACGTAACGTACAGATTTGATGAGATCGAGATTAAGTTCATCGGGACGGAGAAGCATATCGGCGCTAGGGTTCCGGTAAAACATGAACTCACGCTCTCCGTCGGATCTCAGCGTCACGAATGCGAGTGCCGTCCTAGCTCCGGTGTCAAAGTTGATACCTTCGGCAGATACACCGTTTTGTTTCAAGATTCCGGCGAGCATGTGACCGAACTCGTCGTCGCCGAGTTTCCCGACAAAAGCAGACCGACCACCGAGACGGGAAACGGCGATGGCGACGTTGGCAGGTGCGCCACCAGGTGCCTTGATGAAGCCAGGAGCCTCGGCGAGTGAAACGCCGGAGACGGTGGGAACAAAGTCGATGAGCATCTCACCGAAGCTCACGATCAAGCTTTTCTCGCCGTTGGATGATGACATTTTGTGGTCGGAGTGTGTTTTATCGGACGGTAGAGATTAGGTTTTTGATATGAGAGTTGTTGGAGAACGAAGAAGGGTTTATATACAAGTGTTAAGGAGTTGATATAAATGAAAATTTAGAAGATTTATCCATTTTAAATTTGTTATTATCCGCATTACAAAACAAAAAAAAAAATGTAGTATTTGGTAAGTACTTAATATCGAAATATTCGATTGGTTCGTTGAATCATATTATGATCTTATGAGATCAGTGATTGGTGCTTGTTAATGAGACCAAGGTGACGTGTTTCGCAAGGTCTACCATTAAAGTAGATTTTCTTATCCACTGTTGGATAAAAGATATTAATCCTCCTTTAATTCCGGTTATTTCATTTGTTAGGATTGCTTTCCTTATCGATAATACACATTTAATGGATATTATCTCATGTAACTATGTAAGTTTTAAACTACTAATTCAAAGTATTAATGTGTGATTTTTATAATTTTAAGAAACGGGATTAGGATTAAGTTGACTTATTATATGATCCTTATCCTTTTATTTATGAAAGATCTGTCATCACTAATCGATTTCCTGTTTCCCAAGTAATAAATATTTTTTGTGAATTTCATAAAAATGTCAAGTTAATTTGTAAATACTAAGTAACGGATATACCCAAGGAAAACATATTTACGGATATATACTTTTTACAGTTACAGATGATTTCCATCATGTATTTAATACTAACAATTACAAAAATGAATGCTTGCGAACTAACTTTGATAGAAAAAAAGTAAAGAGAATATAACTAAACTATTCATTTGAAGTATCAAGAGTGTTAAAGAATGAATGAAAAATTAGATTCATATCAAACTTGATAACCATGTACAAGAACAACTATAAAAACTAAATGATCATTGGAAGAGAGTGGGAGACAATAATAGGCCGGTTTGGATTCGAACCGGCTGAACTGGAGTGACTGGACTGATTGATACGAAATTTGAAGGCTGGTAAATTGACATTTTTTAATTATAAGGGTGATTCTGTAAGCAAAGATAATAAAGGGGTCATTCTGTCCAATTATCAAAAGTAGTGGACATACCGGTCCAACCGGTGCGTCTGTCGGCGAGAATCACGCTGTAAAAAAAATCTAAAAACGCACTAAACCAAACATATAACGAGGAATTATCAGACGAGGAGAAGCGCACCGGAGGAACCATAGATTCGATCTACCCGAAGCTTAGAATGAACGGTGAGTTGACTTCTTTCCGATATTGACCCAATCATCTCTCGCCACGTCATAGGTTTACTTCGTCCCCTGTAATCCATCACCTTCTCTGTCTCTCCCCCTTCAAAAAAACCTAATTCGATCGCCGCCGCCTCCGATCTACATCCGCCGCCGGTGAATCTCCCGGATTTTTTTTTAAAAAAGTAAGATTCTTTATTCATTAACCGTTATTTCGTTCCTCTAATTGAAATTAAATTTTACCAATTTAAGATTTGATTTTGAATTGGGAGTAAAAGTCTCAATCTTTCGATACTTTGGATGATTTACACAACTCTCCATTGTGAAAAGATTGAATCTTTAAAGAAGGGTTTCATTTTAAGCTTTGTTTTTGTATTGTTGTGGAGACTGTAGTGTAGGGTTATGAAACCACTTTGTGTAGTTGAGCTTTTGTCTTCATCTCTTGAAATGTAAGAGTTTCAGTCACAAAGACTTCTTGTAAAGAGGATACTGCTGTGTAATGGTGTTTATCTTTTTGAACTCCTTTTGCTTGCAGTGGATTTCAGAATTGATAATGGTGATGGTGATGCTGGGATGATGATGGGGATCCATAATGAGATGGGTGAAAGCTCTGGTCAAGCAATGATTGAGCAAGATGATGAAAACCATAACGAGATAGGTGAAAACTCTGGTGAAGCAATGACTCTTGAGCAAGATGAGAAGGTAGATCCGGACTGTATCCCTCTGGAAGTTACTGATATGGGGGATGAGCCTTATGTTGGACAGGAGTTTGAATCTGAAGCAGCTGCACACGGGTTTTATAATGCTTACGCTACAAAAGTAGGGTTCGTTATTCGTGTTAGTAAACTGTCACGGTCAAGGCATGATGGGTCTCCTATAGGTAGGCAACTTGTTTGTAACAAGGAAGGCTACAGGTTGCCTAGCAAGCGGGAGAAGGTTATTAGGCAAAGAGCGGAAACTAGGGTTGGATGTAGAGCAATGATCTTGATTAGAAAAGAAAATTCTGGTAAATGGGTTATCACCAAGTTTGCCAAGGAGCATAATCATCCTTTGATGCCTGGAAGGGTTCGAAGAGGTTGCATTTATGATCAATATCCGGTCAGTTCTTGCTCTTTTTTATTTTCTGCGTTCTCTATATTTTGCTGAGTGATTGATTGGTCATTATGTGAATGAAGTGAAACATGTAATAGATTTCAGATTCAGCTATTGCATTATTTGAATATAGAAACTGACCAAGCTACTGTCTTCAAAATAGCATGATGATTCATGATTAGTTGTTATATGGCAGATTCATGTGTGCTAGTTTGATTCTGAGTTTGTTTGCTCTCCTCATTTGCAGAACGAGCACGACAAAATCCAGGAGCTGATGCAGCAGCTAGCTGCAGAGAAGAAGAGAGCCGCTACTTACAAAAGGCATCTGGAGATGCTCTTTGAACATATCGAACAGCACAATGAAGGCCTTACTAAGAGAATCCAACACATAGTAGACAATGTGAGGGATCTGGAACAGAGAGATCATCAACAGAACCAAGTATAGTCTGTTTTTGTCTCAGTCCTTGTTCATTTTTCACCAGCTTGATTTAGGAGATAGATCTTCCCTTCTGCATCCCCTTATATCCTCTCTTTTAATAAAGTTTTTCTTGTCAAAAAAAAAACAAATGAGCTTGCAATTACCTTCAACAAAGTTTTGTTTTGATTTTTTTGGATGCTGCATAGGTATGCGTAGTGTACATAAGGTGATGGTTTTAAAGCTCTATCAAAATCCTCTGTAAGATACTCTAGGGTGTTATTTTGCTTGAGCCCTAAGTAACCATCACCAACTTTTAGATAAGACTACAATCAATAACTAACCTATCTTCCTCCAATACTCTCCTATTTGGCTTGTAAGAAAAGTCAAATATCTTCTTATCTAATTGTTCTTAACCATTCAGGTTAAGATTATAACGCATTACATGTCATTACTTACAGAGGAATAAAAAGATCAAATCAGCTTAACTTGATGATGATTTATTACTAAATTCACCAGTTTCCATCATCTGAAGAAACTCCTTGTAACTGACTCTACCATCTCCATCTTCATCAACTTGCATAATCATCTCTTTACAACACTCTAGGGTTTTACCTTGCTTGAGTCCCAAGGAAGTCATCACAGACTTTAACTCCTCAACGCTAATAAACCCATCACCGTCTTGATCAAACACATTGAACGCATCTCTCATATCCTCTTCCTCTTTTTCTTGAACAATAGAACCGTAAAGAGATTCAAACTCATGTATGTCAACACAACCATCTCCATTTGCATCCATCTTCCGGATCATCTGGATCAGATCTTTGTCTGGCATGAAGATGCCTAGGTTCTCTAAGGAATCATTTAGCTCTTCCTTTGTGATGCGGCCGTCTCCGTTCTTGTCGAACATCTGAAACACTTGTTTCAGATCCACCGGGTCTGTTCTTGCCGGAGATTTTGGTTCTGGTTCCAAAGGTGGTGGAATCTTGTCGTTGTTGTACCAAGAAGGAGGGAAGAGAACTCTAAGCTTCTTGGGAACCAAACAGAGAAGAAATGAGTTAATGAGGTTGTAAAGAAGAAAGACTCTCACCATAACTCTTGACTTGTGGCTTTGTCAAAAACAGAGAATGAAAGAAACAAAGCTTTGATGTTCTGTTACACAGACATGAAATGAAAATTGTCTGAAGATTGTTTTTTCTTATAGAGGAGAGATATATATAGGGATGCATTTAATATTAATAATTTGGCAAAAGATCTTTCTTAATAAATCTTTTTTTGGTAGAACCATTGATTAGTCTAGACGTTACCTCTTAATATTAGTAATCATTTTTTTGTTTGTTTACTACTCCATTCTCCACTCTATTTTGCAGTAAAATTATAGAGTGGGGTTGGAGATACTCTTAGTATTTAAACATTTTTTTTTCTAAACCTTTTTGGAGTTTAGAAAAGAAACTAAAAGTTAAATGAGCAATCCAAAAAACATTTTCATACAATTTCCAAGAAAAAAGTGTATTTTGACAGAAGTGAGATAAAGTTAACAAAACCTATTTGTTACTTATTTTTTTGGTCACAAAAGTATTCGTTACGTAAGACTAAAAGAGTAAGGCTTTTAAAGTCTCTAAATAAAATACAAACACTTGTGTAATTCACGGTTAGACCCACTTTTAAATAAGCAAATAGATCCGAAATTATGGATCTATATCCGTATAGATGTCACAAAAAATATACAGTAAAATTTCTATAAATTAATAATATTGAGATTTTGAAATTTTATTAATTTATAGAAATATTAATTTATAATTTTTTGTTTATTTAGATTTTTTCTTTATTTTTCTATTTTTATTTTAGAATAAAAATATTTGATTTTAGCGTATATACATTATTTAAATTTTAGAATTTTGACTTTTATATTGTTTTATTATCTTATTTGATGTATATTTTTATGTTACATAGAAATATTACGTGGTTTTTAATATAATTTATTTTAATATTATCAAAATATATTGAAATGTTAAAAAATAAAAAAAAACATTTTTACTGTAAATATAAAACCAACAATATAATATTAGATTGTGGTTGTATTAAATTAGATATACATATATTATTAATTTATGATTTTAGTGCGACGATGGGGGCGATTGGTTAGACTGTAACTGTAGAAATTAGTCTGTATAAATTTTGGATGTAGCTGTATTTAATGTAGCTGTAGAAATTAAATGAGAAAAAATAAAAAAAGGAAATATATTCCTACAGAAATCTTACAGCAGTATTTTTTTGCTTTAGAAAATGAAGCTCGAGGAAACGC